AATAAATAAAATTACAAGATACAAAACATGACTTGTAACAGCAGAAATGCAGAACACAGAGGATGGGTAGGTGGAAAACTGCTGTGAGAAAACTGATGGAGTGAGATGGCTTTGGCTCAGGTATAATTAGCCACAGTGGGTGGCGTTACCCTGCCTCCTGGGGTGGGGCTGGCTGACGAAGGCTAGCCAGCTCAGCCCCTGGCCTATGCAGTCTTCCCTCAACCCAGCAGGCAACATCACGCTGTCAGACATCCTTCTTCTGCCTCACCGTTCCCCCTGACCAGCAATTGGTGGAACTCAGGTAGGTCTCTGCTGTGCTTCCCAGGATAAATTGAGAGTAAAATGGATCATGACAGCAACTGCAATAAATGTAGTTGGTGTGAGCTGTGTGGTATAGTGGTTAAAACGCTCCCTCTATGCTGTGGAGTTTTGTGAGCAAAAATTCTACTTTGTGAGCGAGTTATTTGGCTACTGCATAAATTAGTTTGCTCTGGAGCCACATCCTTCCTGAGCTAAGAAAACAATCTGTGAGCTGGTGGCTATAAAACTGTGAGCTAGCTCTCACTCACTCAGCTTAGAGGGAACACTGCCTAGGACCAAGGAAACCTGGATTCAGATTCCCACTCTGCCACATAGCTTGGTCACCTTGGGCTAGTCCCTGTCTCTCAGACCGATTTCCCACAAGCGCTGCCCCGCGTCTACTGAATCCTGTTTTTTTGAGGATTGAGTAGACGCGGGGGAAATCGTGCGAAGCTGTGGGGCAAAATGCAGCCACACAGCAGCTTGTGTGAAATTGACATGTACCATCAGGGCAAAGGGAAGAGCAAGCGCAGACCAGCGCTTGTGAGAAATCTGCCTCAGTGTTACCATCCTCCCAGGGTTGCTGTGAGTGTACAGTGGAGGAGTTGGCTGCTTCCACACTGAGGTTTTTCCTTGCAGGGAAAGCAGGAAACACCACAGTAAAAGGAATTATCCAGGTGATATCATACCCAAGCTGTGCATGCCTCATCAGCCTCTTCTTTTCTTCCCCTTTAGTCAGGAGAAAATATAAACTTCATATTCTCTGAGTAAAGCGGGAAACTGCAGGGCAGGATGCAGGTGGAGTATCCATCTGGATGCCCTGGTAGCCGCCATGGGAAAGAGGTACCAGATAGTCTTACCAAGGTCCGGCGGGGGATTCGTATTTCTTGCCAGGAGCCTTGCCAGGGGGACGGCTCCACGCACTGCACCCGCCGTTGCCAGGACGTGACGCTCCGCGTCACTCTGGCAACGGGACTCCAAACACCCCCATTGCCAGAGCGACGCGGAGTGTCACATCCTGGCGACGGCGGGTGCAGCGCATGGAGCCGTCCCCGCGGCAAGGCTCCTGGCAAGAAATACGAATCCCGGGCCGGACCTTGGTAAACCTAGTACCAGAACTGAGAAAAGTAACCTCAATGTATCTCAAGGAAGGTGTATTCTAATAAAGTACTGGCTGGCAGTTCTGACACATGCACAGTTTCCTTTCTATCTCACTGTGTTCCTTACTTTAAAGCTCTTCAGGTGGCAAGCCACAGGGGGAGGAGGAAGTGAAGGTGTATGTTCTTTGAGGCCGCAGGCTGTGTGTTTCCACAGATGTTTAGAAGGGGAAGGGGGTGCTTTGCTTTGAGGTAAGAGATAATCACTTTGAAGTATGCCTTCATTGGAGGGTGGGTGAAAATACTCTACATGGCCATGGAAGGAGCCGCTTGACCTGGCATTGGTGACAAATGAAATTTTCTTTTCATAGTCACATTTGGTGGGATTACAGTAGAAACACAATTTAACCTGTTGAACTCAAATTAAAAAACCAGTAGGAGTGTTCCTCCCTCCCTCCACCTGTCTCTGTGTGTTTTTGTTGTTATTGTTATCCTTAAAAGAGAAAAGCTGGGACGGGGGACATTCCTGTGTTCAGAAAAAAAGCCTCTCTTGAAGAAAAAAAAAAGACGAGGGAACACATTCCAATAGTATTGTTTAATATTCATATTTCTGATTTTGGGGATCCAAAATGTATTAGTCATTTATGCAACAAATTAATATAGCCAACATGACAATCTAGGCAATAGAAAAAGAATAACACTGACTTGGGTCAAGCAACTATCAACTAATTCAGAGCCATGCTAATCACAGGGTACCTTCCTCCTCTTCACTGCTAGGCAAAACATTGCCATTTGTGAACAGAGGTGCAGCTGTTGTCTTTGAAGTCATTGCACTTTTCTTTTTTGTATTTCATATATATATATATGTTAAAATCCTAGAGGTCTAGCAACAGAGATGCAAGCTTGAGATAATAGGTGATCTGAATCCTTGACCTGGATCTTGCTTTCAAAAGGTCTTTGGATGCATTTTACACTTTGCCTGCTCTGCTCTGGCGGAAATCTGACAGTTATTTAGGTGTCTAATGGCCCAATCCATAACCCTGTTACTCTCGAGCACTAGAATTTAAACTGATTTAGAGACATTGGTTTTAACAGGACTAAGGCTGCAGTCCTGCACACACTTATCGTGGAGTAAACCTTACTGAACATAGTGGGGCTTACTTTTGAGTACACTTGCATGATAGTGTGCTATATGCATCCTAAATCTGTAGACATCAACTTCATATACCAAATCCATGCAACAAAGGCATGTTCAGGGTATATCTTACTTGCTGCTTTGCAACTGACACAGCTGTTTCTGTGAAGGACTTTACTAAAGCCCGACACTTGAGATCCATTTGTACATGTGAGCTAGCTATTTATGTTTTACTATGTAATCTCCCCCTGCATTTGAGACTGTGCGGAGAATACTTTCATGTAAACGGCCAGCAAGTTCTGAAAGAACAGATATTAGGTTTGTCCAAGACTTAATTTTCCCATGGGATGGATCCAGTGAATGAATCAATTTTATCTGATCCCATTGTGACCTTGGCAAAGAGTGATAAAAGATAGTGAGGAATTTCAGACAGGCGATATATTCCGGTTCAGGAACGGTTCCCAAACAGTTTCTGGTCTGACATTTCAGACAGAACCATTTTAGAACCGGTTCCCTACCGGAATATATTTGTACTTTCACACACAAACGCTTCTGTCCCGTTCAGGAAATGGGGCTGAACCGTTTTACCTGTAAACCACTTGTTTCCACACGGGACTAACAATGAAGTAGTCTTCAGTTTCTTTTCCTTGATCCGAAATGCTTTTTCCCACCATTTTTCGCTTGTGAGGGCGATCTCCAGCTTTTTTTTTAATGTTCGCTTTACAGCGCTATAGCGCCATAACACAACAGCAAAACAGTGTTATAGCAACCCCATTGGAATGCCTGGAGTGTTGTGTTATAGCGCTATAGCACTCTAAAGCAATCGTGTTTAAAAAAAAGAAAGCCGGAGATTGCCCGTGCAGGTGAAAAACGGCAGGAAAAAGCAGTGCAGTCTGAAATGGCAAACCGCTTCAGATCCAGCTGTTTACCGGAAGGGGAAAGCCATGTGTGAAATGATAGCCCTACCATTACTCCACAACGGATCAAAAACAGCTTCAAACCGGCTTAAAAAGGGTAATGTGAAATTCCTCATTGTGTATAGTTTACCTTGCAAGGAGAAAAAGCAGTGACCTCCTGGTACATCTTAAGATCTAAATGTATATGTATTCTGAAAAGCCAAGGAAACACTGCCAATCTGTCCCTTGTGAGAGATCTGTCTTAAAGCACAATGAATCTCCAGCCTCACTCCCTAGTCAATTGATTTTCTAAGGGGGGTACCCAATGTTGTTGAGCCATTGGGCACTTTTGGACTTTTGTGGATGGGGAGTGTGTGCTACCACATAATTGCTGCAATGGGAGACAAGACTAATCTCAAAGTGACTGCCATGGAGTGTTTCAGCCAATCACAAAATGTGGGGAGATTATATGGCAAGCATCTTCCTATAATGGAGGCAGCTGTTACTTAATGCATGCTCCCTTCAGACACAAAGGTGATACCTCCTGGATTCTCTTGAAACAGTTGCATTCCAAGGAGGTGGAGGGAAGCTAGACAGGTACTTTGCTTTGGGGGAGACCTGATTTCTCAAAGAAGCAAATGGACACCAGGAAGCTCACTGGGGGACACTACATCATGCATGAGCACCATGTTGCTTCATAATATTTGATGATTTGTGCCATATCTGCAGGGCCCTTTGATGAAAGTAATGTCACCATTATTATACTCCAACATTATGAGTACTCGGTTATGAACTCATTTCAACTTTACAGTCTTCCTCAGATATAATCCTATATTGTAAGGAGGTGTCAGCTTCTTAATCCAGATCAGTCTTGTAATTTCTTAATTTCCTTCATAATATCCTGGAATAAACCATAATCAATGAAAATCTACATGTAGCTGCATGGAAATTAGTTATTTTAAACTTATGATGATTTAATAATTTAATTTTTAGAAAACTTACTTCTGGTTCCATAATAAGTGTTTATATTGGGAGTAAGCCAATCCTCTGTTGGTGCAAAAAAGCCTCCTGGATTTTGCTGACTATGCTCTCCATAAACACTATCTATTTTGGTACTATGTTGGACTTTTTAACAATATTGTACAATTGAGAATGCTGGACAAATTTTTGCAATTTTATAAAGTTAAAAAAGCTATATAAATCTTACCAATGTTGTTCATATTGCAGGGTTTGCTTGTGTGTTGTTTTTCCTGTTGGATACCTGTGATCCCTTTTGTTTGTACCATTATTATAGTGCCTGATAATTCTTAGTTCATGCCTGGATAACAGATTGGTTCTGAGATATACAGAAATCCTGATTGAAATGAAATGTATGTAGTGAGAGGCACGTGATCCAGTTTTCTAAGCCACAGGAATTTATCTAAACTGTACTGACCTCCGCTACCTAGAATTTGTGTTGATCTTGATGGACATGTGGTATCCCAAGTACACCTTTGTAATGTTACCCATTTTGTTCAGATCCCCCCCCCCCGATTTACCCCCAGTAATTTTTTTTTTCCAATTTATCCCCAGAAACCCTAATGGATACTCGGACAGCCACAGCTGAACTTGGCTGGACAGCAAATCCACCTTCAGGGGTAAGTGGACGTCTACTGCTTGACATATCTTTGTATATTAATTGATTGGGCGTGGGAATAGGATGGCTGTTATTTCCACTTCCATCCAAATGACTAATAAAATTGTATGTGTGAGTGTGAAATCTGTCTTCCCTTGATTAACAGAATTACTAATTTCTCATTTTAGATGTCAGATCAAACAAAAGCAAAACTGGCATATGTCATTTTATGCAAACAGAAATCTGTGTCTTTTTTTCCTAACAGCAGGACGGCTTTAATGGGTGGAGTGTTTTTCAGTCAGTTATGAATTTTTTAAAAACAACCTTTTGATTTGGGGGTTGGGCATTTTTTTAAAAAAAATCTGGGGGTTGATGATAGTATTGCATTATTCCAAATCACAGATAAGAAGGAAACCTGATTCATGGCTCACAGTCATCAGGAGTGAAAATGTCATTTCCTCCTCATTGAAAAAAAGTTGAAAATGAAAAGAAATCCCACTTGCTGCATGAACTCCCGATCTGTAATAAGTAATTCCTGTCACAAGTTCTCTGGTCGTGCCTAGCACAGTGATACAGAAAGAACCAAATGACACATTGATTTGCCAGCCTTTAGTACTGAGCCATGGCATTTCCCGAGAATGACTGTGCTTTGTGGTGGCAGGTGTGCCACCCTCTTTCCAGACCTACACCTTGACACAGTGGAGGTAGACTGGGCACTGTGAATGATGTTTTTTGATTAGCTCCAACACAGTGATCTTTCCCTGATGTGGAAAGTCAGCTGTTTTGTGTGGCTGTTTTGCCGACTCGTGCTCAGATGGTAGTGGCCCCCCATGGAGCCCACTTTCTGGTGACACACAGAGCATAGCTGGGAAGGGGCTGGTGTTTGTAAACAGCTGCTTGAGAGGGAATGGGAACTCCTTGTCCCTGCCACTCTTTGGATTTATACTTCTAATCACTTTGCACAGCAACGAGTCAGCCACCGCCTGTGTCTCAACCATGCTGCCTAATATACTTCATCAGGAAACATCACATTCTCATTGGGAGCTGGAAATATCATTTACGTGCCCAAGGGAATCCTTTCGCACCTGCTGCCTCCTGATTTACAGCTGGAAAAGGCCTCTTGAAAACTGGGAGGCAGCAGGATAGGAAGAGAGAAGGAATTGGGACAGTGGGGAAAGTGAGAATGAAGACTGCTCTAAGGGTAGCAGCAGTAGGACTGAACATTGTGTGAGAGCTAAGAAGATGGGAAGATGAGGAAGTCTGGAGTATGAAGAGGGAGGAAGGCAGCAGTTTATGAAGCAAGGCTGTTGAGAGTTCTGCACACAGAAGTAGATCAAGTGTGCATGTGTGAACAAATCTCAGTGCTCCATGTGTCTGCACTACCTCAAAATCATGTTGGTCTATGTGGAGTGGTGGAATCTTGCAGCTGATTGGTGACTGAGGGAGAAGGAATGGAGTCTGTGCATTTACCGGAGAATGCTACTTTGCACCCAGATGACTGAGTGTCATCTTGGCCATCTGCACAGTGATGATATTGGAAAACTGAGCTATGGTACTGCTGATTAGCTCCCCTAAGATATTCGTTCAGTGTGCATTCTGTGTATGGTGCCATCTTCTATGCACCCATGCTCTTAAGGTGCTGTGCTCTTGGAATGACCATTATGGGAATATTTTAAGACTATTGCCTTTTTTGGTTTCTGGTGTGCAGATTTTAGAAAATAAAGTGAAACCTACACTTAAAGCAATTGAGAGAAACAGATCACCAGAAGCAGATGTAATATCAATAGAGCTATTTCAAGCCACAGTAATAGAATCTATCAAAATCTGAACAAGAATATGCCAACAAATACCTAAAACAAAACAATGGCCCACAGACTGGAAACGTTCAATCTACATTCCAGTTCTGATAAAAGGAGATGACAAAGACTGCAGCAACTATAGGACCATTGCATTAATTTTTCATGTGAATGAAGTAATGCTCAAAATCTTACAACAAAAACTGATATCATATATGAAGTGAGAAATGCCAGATGTTCAAGATGATCGTAAAAAGAAGAAGAGGCAGTAGAGCTAATAATACAAATTTTCTTTGGTTACTGAAGCATACGAGAGAATTTCAAAAGAAAATCAGGTCGTGTTTCACAGATTACAGCAAAGCTTTTGACTGTGTGGATCATGAAAAGCTGTGGTTGGTTTTAAAAGAAATGGTTGTGCTACAACATCTGATTGTTTTGATGCTCAACCTATACTCTGGACAAGAAGCTACTCTTAGGACAGAATATGGTGAAATAGAATGGTTTCACTGTCAGAGAAGGATGTATTTTATCTCCCTGTCTGTTCAATCTGTATGCAGAACATATTATAAATAAAACTGGATTAGATTTAGATGAAGGTGGAGTAAAAATTATTGGAAGGAACATTAGCAGTTTGAGATATGCAGATTACACCACATTACTAGCAGGAAACAATAAAGACTTGAAACAACTGAAGGTTAAAGCAGAAAGAGCCAAAACAGAATTACAGCTGAATATCAAAAGTAATGACTGCTGAGGAATTACACAGCTTTAAGGCTGACAATGAAGAAATTTGAAAGTGTTCAATATTTTCTATTCATTGGCTCAGTAGTCAACCAAAAGGGAGACCATAACCAAGAAATCAGAAGGAGATTAGACTGGGAAGGGCACCTATGAAAGAGCTAGAACAGATCTTAAGTGTAAGAATGTGCGTCTGGTGACTAAGTTCAATATCATACTATGTATTGGTGTGACAGTTGGACAGTGAAGAAAGCTGACAGGAAGAAAGTTGATTCATTTAAAATGTGGTGTTGAAGGAGAGTTTTACAGATACCATGGACCACCAAAAAGACAAATAAGTGGGCTTGAGACTAAATCAAGCCTGAACTCTCACTTGAAGCTAAAATGACTAAATGTTGTACTTTGGTCACATTATGAGAAGACAAGAGTCACTGGAAAAGACAATGCTAGTAAAAGTTGAAGGCAGCAGGAAAAGAGGAAGACACAACATGAGATGGATGGACTCAATCAAGGAAGCCATGGTTCTCAGTTTGCAAGACCTGAGCAAGACTGTAAATGATAGGATGTTTGGGAGGTCATTAATTAATAGGGAAGGCTGCTAATGATAGGACATTCTGGAGGTCATGAATTTATAGGGTTGCTATAAGTTGGAAGTGATTTGGCAGCACTTAATACACACATTGGGGGGTTTTGCTTCTGGTGTGCAGACTCATTCCTAGGGGAACAGATTCTGGGCAGGAATTAGAGATGCTAGGTTCCAGGTAGGACCTAGGGATCCCCCGGAATTACAGCTCATCTCCAGAGTACATAGATCAGTTCCCTTGGAGAAAATGAATGCTTTGGAAGGTGAACACTATGGCACTGTACCCCACTGAGATCCCTGCCCTCCCCAGGCTGCTGCATCCCCAAATATCCAGGGAGACCACCAACCCGTATCTAGTAACCCTACCCCTTCATCCCCTTATGGTGGCTGGGGAGACCTGGCAACCCTAGCAGGAATTCCCCTGCATCCTGCAGATGGTGCCTGGACAATGTCATCCAAGAAATCCAGAGGGTGTGCTTATATGGTGGTGGAAAGTGCTGGCAAGTCACAGCTGACTTATGGCGACCCCACACGGTTTTCAAGGCAAGAGATGCTCAGAGGTGGGTTGCCATTGCCTGCCTTCACATCGTGAGCCTGGACTTCCTTGGTGGTCTCCCATCCAAATACTAGCCAGGGCTGACCCTGCTTAGCTTCTGAAATCTGATGAGGTCAGGCTAGCTTGGGCTATCTAGGTCAGGGTGGAAAAGGAAAGTGCTGTCAAATCACAGCAGTCCCAAAGGGTTTTCAAGACAAGACATGTTCAGAGGTGGTTTGCCATTGCCTGCCTCCTCATCACGACCCTGGTATTCCTCGTACGTCTCTAGTTCAAATACTAGCCAGGGGCGACCCTGCTTACCTTCCAAGATCTGATGAGATTGGGCTAACCTGGGCTATCCAGGTTAGGGCACATGCTTGTTTTCCTGGAGGATATTCTTATAAGATATTGTCTTATTCTGATATTGTCACCATGGCAGTCTGCCTATAAATCAAATGCTGCTGTTTTTCCTGTGCCTTTTGTTCTGGGAAGTTTACCCTAACTGACTGCTGGTTTTATCAAATAACTGTGGAGAAGATTTGTCCTTTCTGTGGCAGTAGAAAAGAGTAAGAGTCCAGTAGCACCTTAAAGGCTAACAAAATTTGTGGTAGGGTATGAGCTTTCATGAGTCACTGCTCACTTCTTCAGATACAGCTAGAATGTGAGTCCATCTGTCCTATATATTGGAGAGTGGGGTGATTTCAGATGCCAAATGATAATAGCAGGTGTGATTGGATTATGTGTGGTATGCAGAGAGGTAGTAAGTGTGGAGAAATCAGTACTGATAATGAGACAGGAAACCTAGATCTCGATTCAATCCAGGTGGATGCATTGTGTTGAATTTCGTTAGTTCCAATTCAGCAGTCTGTCTCCCTAATCTCTCTCTGAAATTCCTTTGTAAGATCACTGTTACTTTTAGGTCAGCAACTGAAAGTTCTGGAAGGTTAAAATGTTCCCTCACTGTTTTTTTTTTAATATTGTGGTTTCTGATGTCAGACTTATGCCCATTAATTCTTTGTTGAAGGGACTGGCCTGTTTGTCCAATGTAGAGGGTGGAAGGGCATTGCTGACACGTGATGGCATAAATCACATTAGAGAATGAGCAGGAATATGAACCTGAGATGGCATGGCTGATGTTGCTGGGTCCACTGATGGTGTTGCTAGCATCTATATGAGAGCAAAGGTGGCATCTTGGTTTGTTGCAGACTTTGGTACCAGAGCCCATATGACAGTTAACTAGTTTATTATTGCATGTGAGAAGTTGTTTTAGGTTAGCAGATCCACTAGTCTGTAAGCGAGAAAAGGTCAGCCCCCAGTGCCTGCGTGAGGGAAGCGTCACTTTCCAGCACAGTCCTTTATGTGGTGTGCAA